CAGGAAATAATATGAGTGAGTGCTGAGTGAGTAGTGGTACTCCTTTCAGTACAGCCTGTGCTTCTCCAGTGCTGACTTATCAGGTGAAGGCATCTCAGGAAAACCAGCTCCATTGCTACCAAATGTACAAGGTGCCTGTCAGAAATGCAGGTAACAGCAAATAAGCACTCACCTCGCTTCCCTTAAGGGAGAGAAGCTGTCCAAAGTCTTCCAGCATCTCTGTAAAATTTAGCAAATTTACTAAGTGAAACCTGCCTAAGTACACCTGCCCCTTGAATAGCACATGTAGCATGCGCTTTTGTCACTTATACAAGCTACAGGTGAAACATTACTTGAAATATGTCCAGGACATAGATAAAACATTGTACCTGTTGAGAGTTAAAATGTTAGGATACCTGCTTATTAAAGGGGAGGTTTTTTGGCCTCTCAAAGTTTGAAGTAATTGAGCACCATTGATACTTGCTAACAGAGTGCCTGTGCCACCTCATAGACACAAATTTGTTTGGATTGTTGAAAATAAATGCATAGGGAGGAATTATAAAGAAAAGGAAAATGCTCACAGCTGAAAACAAGAAACCGATGAATGCCAAGTGAAGTTTTTATTTTCTACCTCTACTTTAAAGTTACAGATAAGGACCAAACTAAGCAGCCAGTCAGGATGTTCACATACTACAGCACTTTCCCATCCATCATTTCCCACACTTTATGGCCAGGTGTTCCAAGACTTGAGATACCCTGCCACACAGCATGCACACCATTCAACCAGTGTTCTGGTCGAAATAATGCAGGCACACAGTGCTTTGTGTAGTTTTGAACTCCTACTTTTAGGCTGGTCCAAGGTTATACTTAATAATAACTTAGTTTAGTCTTTTAAAGATTGCCTTTGTATAAATCCCAGCTGCTATTTATTCTCTTAATAATGTTCTTATGGGAATCCCAGCTTCTGCAGTGCTTTGGTTTGTAGCCTGTTGATTTTTCTCTGCAGGAAAATGCTACGTAAGGTCTTAAAATGCTTATGGTTTGTTTTCTGCTCTTGTGAGATAATGAAAATATACTCTTAGAGGACACAGCAGATCAGGGTCAGAAAGGCATTAATTTAGCCAAGAGCCAGATGGTTTCTGCAGGGACATCTGTAACCGACCTGTGCGGCAGTACTGCCATGCTGCAGACTGCCAGTGTCCACGTGCGAGGCTCTGTGTGTGCCTTTGTACTGGGACAAAGTATTTGCTGAGAAGAAGGAGGTCGCAACGAGGTGGGAACAATGCTGGAAAAATGCTACCTACAATTTCCCCTTTCAAACAGGAGAGAGGAACACATCAACAGCAGAGTAATTCTGATGAGACTTAGTGTACAGTGGCCTTATGCTGACTCACAGCCATACACACAGTGTTATCTGCTAATGCATTCCCCGTGTTCCTCCCACAGCTGAAATTTGCTCAACTATGTTATTCATAGACCAGACAGCAGAGTAATTCTGATGAGACTTAGTGTAACTATGTTATTCATAGACCAATCCATAAGATTGTTTCCCAGGAGTGGGAGTTGCCTACAGCATCCCTGCAAGGACCAGGGTGTGAAAGCGTGTCATTTTATGTGTCTTATTCCTGTCCCCCTCCTGTGAGAACTGCACCCTCCATCATGCACACTGGTCACGGCAATGGGAATCTGTCTTCTTCACTTTTTCGCAACTAGGTAGCTGTCAAGAGGGAGATGTCTTCCGCAGTACTGTAGAGTCCTTGCCCTGTCACAAAACACTTGGATAGCCCAGCTGGCCAGGTCTGGGGCCCAGCAGCTGGAAGATGCCTGGTTGTGCCTGGGGTCACGTAGTCTTCCTCTGCCACATGGTTTGCAGCCCTGACAGACTGCCTTGGTCCTCCAGGTTGGTGAGCCAATCTGAGGAAGTTTTTAGTGACTGTGGTCTTGAAACGTGCAAAACACAAGTCTTCCCTAGCATTTTGTAAAGTAGTGACGGAATAGCCAAACTGCTCACTTCAGGTGCAGAATGACTGAGGGGCATAAGGGCTTCACATTGTCTTTGTGTTGTGAGTCTCACAGCAGGCAACAACAGTATGGGGAAACAGAATGCATGGAGGTAAAAAGTAGAGATGTATTATTTCCTGAAATAATAAGAAAATGTTACTGAATCATTGCAGAAAACCAGCTCATTCAATATACCACAAAGTATAGAATAAACGGTGATATCAAAGTTAAACTAAAGAAAGCAAAATCAGAATGCTTGATTTAAAAATACTGAATGTTCAAATTTATGACTCAAAGTTATGTAAGAAAACTCATATAAAATAAAGGTGCTATTCAGTGCTTATTGCTGAGGAAAATCCTTTCAATATAAAATTATTGGAAATCTTCCATTGACTTACTCTGTAATATTTATTGTTTAGGCTACAAATATTAAGCTCCACACTGTTTTGGAAAGCATATTTTTCAGTATCTTCTTGCTACTTTCTAAAAATTATTTACTGTCGGGAATCCCAGAATTTTTTTCTTGTTCACAACAGCTCATGCTTACATGCAGTTGCTGGAATAGCTCACATTCTTAAGAAGACCTTTCAGGACACTGATTTGCCTCTTTTATTTTTCAGCAGTCTCATTCTTCTGTTAGCGCTTGATGTATACCCACATGAGTCAGTTCTCATTGTGGGAATGATACTGCTTTTGGAAGATTAAGATGTTAATGAAAACAAGGTAGTTACTGAAAGGATGGGGATATCTGTTACTCTTAATAACAAGGAAACTTTAATTTGTACATGCTCTGAAAGATTTGTCATTGCTCAAATACATGCATACAGAGCACTAGATGAGAGTATTAAAAATTTAGTTGTGCTTAGATATTTAACATTTCACATTTTATTCATTCTCATCAATACAAAAATACAGTATTTTTTTGGTGAGAATTCTCATGGGACAAGGCTATTTGTACTGAAACAAAAGGTTTTTAAATCCCAGTGAGGCAAACCACCTCCTGGTTGTGTCCTATAGATTGTTTAGCAAAATCAGGACTCCAATATCCTCTATATCCAATTCTTGCTTGAAGTGAAGCATGGGGCTGGCAAATTGCAAAGCTGGTGGCCTAACATCTGTGGTCTTGTAAACAGCATGGGCTTAGCATGGTGTCTTTGACTGGGGCCTTATTGCTTAATTGCTTATGGATGCTTTTTATGTTTGACTTGTGTATTTTCTAAGGGAAAGGATAGGCTTAGTTATATAGCTTGACATGTTACCGTAATCATGCTTCACTTTAAATAGGGCTTGATTCCACCACCAGGTTCTGTCATGCAGATGATTACCAGTGACATTAAGACATTATATCACATAACTAGATATTCTAAAATGCTATAATTTAAAAGCACCATTCCTCCTCAGCATTTATGCTCACATTGAGTATATATTAATAAATGTGTCTGGGATTTTTTTGATTCAAAGATAGGAAAACATTTTAATCATGATAACTTTCATGTAATCATACCATTAAACTTCAGATCCAGCATTTCATTCTGCAAAAGTAAATGGATGCCATTAAAAATCCATTGTCACTGGTGCTTTGTGAAGAAATATTGGTTTTCATGAACACATCTAGTTGTCCTGATTGGCTTACAAACTATGTAAAGGAGAGAACAGATGAAGTACATAATCAAATAATTGTTTCAACATATTATTATGAAACCCCAATGTTTGTTTTGATTCTGCTGTCATCTGTTCTCAGCATTCCTAAAATGATGCTGCCTCTTACTTTTCTTTTGGACATGCACATCTCTGTTTTAGTAGGGTCACCAGTTGTAATGGAAGCCATATTCCAAATGCAAATACATGTCCTTTTAATATAAAAAGAGGAGAGTTTGGCTCAAACTCATGTCTAAGAGACTATTTAGAGCCTAGAATCCAAATTTCTGATCATTTCTAGAGATACTCTTTCCTGATTTGCAAAGCATATACTTTCCTGCAACATCAGTGCTCTTCTTTTCCGCCCTCCTTCTTATGTGTCACTCACTTGCTCACT